GACGACGCACAAACTTTGTGCTGATTAATAAGAAGAAGACATCAAAGACAACAACAACTATTAGCAGCTGGATATGTGAATTGAGAGCTGTCTATAGAGACATTAGCCAGCTGTGCAGGCCTTGGCTCTGACTTTGGCTTTGGCTTTGGCGTCGAGGTTCTCACATAGCAAACGCATAAATCCAATTGAAAGCGCTTAGCTTTGATTTTTGCCTGCGCACAGTGGCATTCACTCATCCCTTCCCTTACCTCGCCTCGCCTTGCCCCAACTGACTTTAGTTTTAGCTGGAAGTCTGCGCCTTTAGCCGCTGCTGCGTACGTGTTAGTTGCTGAGCCGCTTTTTCAACACTTTGAACATTTGGTGTCTGGCCCACTACTACGTGCCGCAATTCAGCGTGTGACGTTATCAACTGCCCCCTCTCTCTCTCTACCCTCTCTCTCTCGCTCACGCTCTCTTGGTCATATTTGATAAATGCTAGCCCACTCTGAGCTGGGCTGCTGTCCCTGCCCAGCAGCTGGAAACAAATATTTAGTTGTGAGAAATCCAAATTAAGTCACGTCGCGTCAATCGCGCCCAGTAGTTGAGAGAAGTCCGGAGCCGCTGCTCCTGCTGCTGCTCCTGCTGCTGGCGCAATCTTAACCCTATCGAAATGCCATTTCAATGCAAATGCAAAATGGCAAAATTAATGACGTTCATTTCCTGCACCCATGTCAGCCACCGCCTGCCGCCAGCCTCCTGCCAGCCATCGCTAGCTCTCATTTGATGCTGCACAGCTTACAAGAGAATTATGATTCAAAAACAATAGACTTTTATGCATCATGGCAATGCCTGTTGCCCCTGCCACCTGCCCTACCCGCCCCCGCAGCTGCCCCTGCCTCTGCCTTTTGCAGCCACTGCAACAAGATTTTCGCATTAAGTTACCAACCCCCGCCCACTGCCCCCATCCAATTCGCATTGAAAGGCCATTACCATTTTGGGCTGCTCTGGCTCTAGCTGGGGTTTTTCTTTTTTTGGTTTTGGGGGTTGTTGCAGTTGCAGCTGCCGCTGCTGCTGCTGTTGCTGCTGCTGCTTCTTTTGTTTGCTGCTTGGCAATTTTGTATGCACTTTTAGCCAAGTTACCCTTGGCTGGCCCACTCCATTCGCTCTTCCGCTATGTTGTTTACATTGTCACAGTTGCCGCTTTCTTTGCATTGCAACTTGCATTCACAGTTGGCTTTTATGTTTGCATTTTATGCGTCTGACTCCCAGTTCTCTTACAGTTCGGGCTCTCAATGCCATTTTCATTTCCAGCTCGACTGCCTGAAACTGCCTGAAACTGCAAGAAACCCATTCGCTGCATTTGCTTAATTGCCTGAGCCGAAGTTGCGAATATTTCCAAAGCTATCTTAAAGTTATTATAATATTCGTTACACCCAAAAGTATTTGGCGCTGCAGAAAGTTGAAGTAACCAATGAATACATATAAATATTTATATGAAAAGGGTTTTTGTTTTTCAGTTTTTTTTCCTTTTTCTTTTAGAGTTATACGATTGCGTTTTAAGCTTTCAGGGATGGATAGTTGATTTTAAATTAAGGATATTCTTGGCAGCATCGAAATCAATATATATCGATATATCGTATGATATAAAGTCTCATTTAGGGTTTGGCTGCGTTACGCTTGTAATGCAAAGCAAAGACCATTTCATTCTTTGCGCTCTGTTCCCCCAACGAGAGATATTTTAAATTCTCCAAAATCAAAACTTTAAACTAATAAAGTGAATTAAAGTTTTTCATACAGTTTGAAGCTCGAATGGAAACAATGGTCATCGCACAATTAATGAGGATGGCCATTAGTGCTGAGAGCTTTTCCAAACATCACCACCGAGCAGCACCACCAACCGCCAGCCAGCGAGCTGTACCACAACTGATCCGCTGGCTGAGTAAAAAGTCAAACAATTTGCTGACGCCGAAGTCTTTGGCCAAATTTAAAGAAATTACACTTGACACTTTTCAATTAGTGCGCCAAACTTTATTTTAATTGTGACAGTAACACGCTGGCGTTGCCAGCTAGCGACATAAAATAGAGGAAGAGCAAGAGGAGGAGAAAAGTCAGGGTCGTGCTAGGTGGTAAAGGGAGCGGGCTACCAACAAGTTTTGGCCAACTTTCTGAGGCGACAACTTGATAGAAAACAAAAGCCACGGCCAGAGCTCGGAGTTCTGGGCACATTCAGCCACAAAATGTCAAAAGGGAACTTTGCAAGATTAATTACAATTGAAAACAAATGAATGCAAAAACGATAAGCAGCCAAAGGATTTCGGGCCAAAAAGTCGAGTGTGGCACCACCCAACCACCCACGCTGCAGCAACAGCAACAGCCCCACCGACGAGCAGCTCAACTCGGCAACTTTGCCAATCAAGATAAAAGAGCAGGCCGCAGGGAAATGGAAATGGAAACGGGTCGAGAATGGGGCAGTTGTTAAAGCCAGCTCTCGCAGAAGTACTAATCAAAAAAGCGGGTGTTGAAACAAATGTTCACACCTACAAAGCAACAGGAACAACAGCAACAAAAACAGCCAGAGCAACAACAGCTGCTGCTTGTCCAGTTTTTGGGCACTTGAACTTTGGCTAAACTAAACGCAAAGTTTGCCGAGGTTAGCAGGTCCCGAGCGCGGTCCAGTTTGGGGCTACTTTATGGCCCAAAGACGTGACTTGTTTAGTTTTTCACTATCTATAAGGCTGTCGTGTATACCCTATAATTAATGCGCTAACAGTGCATAGACGAATTATTTATATAGTTAATTCTGAATTTTGTATTTTTTCTTACCTCATTTATTTATACAAAATTGATTTATATTTATTGTTTTGTATATGTTTTATTTATTTTTCACTATTTTTTTACCATATTATTATATATTTTTATTTGTCTTTTAATTTTTGTAAATTTAAATTATGAATTATTTTGTGATAATTAAGTACAGAGCAGGAAAATTTCTATGTTTCTTTCTCTTTCCTTTCATCTATTTCTCTCTTGATTTTTAGCTTAAAACGAATTTTCAGATACTGCTATATCCTTCACGTTAAAAGAGTATATCTACGTCTTCTATTACTGATTTTAATATTTTTCTCTTTCCGCCTCGCCTTTACCAACATTCAAAAGCTTGACCAGACGAACTCGAAAAGTGGGAAAACTGAAACTGAAAAGTTTTGCGCCGCATAAATCATGAAATTAATTAATTTTGACATACATTTTGCGCCAAAGTAGCTCTATAAACAATTTTAGTATTTATTTACATCATGCATATATAAATTTATGTATATATGTATGTATACCTTTCTTCATCTTTTTTTTTTGCCTGAAACTAAAAGTAAAATCAAGAAGAGTTTGGTAAAAACTTGCCCTGCGGGGGCTTCTTACCCGCTCGCTGCTGGCAAACTTTTCGAGTCGAGAAAACCAAAAAAGAATAAAACTATATACATATATACAGCTATAGAGGAGGGGAAAGAAATAAAAGTAAGTTAAGTTTGAAATATGTGCAAAATTCATTCAGTATTTGAAATATGCTCAAGTTCCGCCCGCTGCTGCTGCCAAAAGAAAAACTTCGGCCGTGAGTTTAATTTTATTCATGTTGCTAAGAGAGCGTTGAGCGACGTCGCGACGTCGCTGTCGCTGTCGCTGTCGACGGAAACTTTGCCAAAATGCACTGTTTAATTGCATAATTTGCGACTGAAAAGGAGATTTGAGTTGTTACACCTGAAAGCCGTTTGATAGCGCAACTCAACAAAATACAAAAAAAAAAAATAAAAAAAATAACTTGAGGTAGGAATAATTAAAACACAGCGAACAGCTGCAAGAGGTGGATGTAAATCAGGCAATGTTAAGGATAAAAGGAATTATCTGGAATAGAACTAAGGCCCTTAGTAGCTATAAACTATTGAGTCTAACTAAATTGCACATAAAATCTAAAATTTTGTATTATTTAATTTGTATTTATTAGAAATAATTATACATTTTATAAAGGTATATATACATATATAGGTATATTATATATGTATATTTTCAATCATTATTATTGTTAGGAGATAATTTTTAAACGGGAACGTAAAGGTCGCTCTAGCCTGCATAAATAATCATATATCCAATATACAATATATGCAATATATAATATATCCAATATACATATATACGTATATATAAATTCTAATACATGCTTTACGTGCAAAGCCTGACATTTTGAAATACGCATTATACACAATTATATTGTACTTGAAATGTTTAATGCAATTTATTTAATGAAAATCGGCCACATCAAAGCTTTGAAACTTCTATTGAATAAAAGACACGAGCCACGGGTCATTGCACCACACTCACAACTCGCACCACTTAGACAAACGGAAAATGACGCCGCGCCAGGCTGACCGCAACAGGGCGAAACTACAACGAAATATGTGAAATTGTAAGTGCTTTGGATTGGATGGGATTGGATTGGGCGATAATTTGTGGCAATTTGTTGGGTAAAATGCAAAATATGCGCACAAAGAATTTACGCCCTGTGCCTGAAAGTATGCAGCGATAATAAGAAATGCAACTGCTGCTCCACACCAATGCGTTGCAATGCCCACAACCACGCCCCTTCCCCACTCACCCACGCAGTGTGAGAACTATGCGAACGCAACGATAAGAGAAAATCTATGGCGAAATGCGAATACTTTTCTCGCTGCTTCGAACGATTGGCAAACTACTTAGTTAGGTAAGGGTATGGCTGCGCAGGGCGGGGCAGGTGAGAGGAAGGTGTGGGCAAAGTGTGTATTGGCTGCCGCTCAAACTTATCCTGTTCCGCCTGTGCGTGTGCGTGTGTGTGTGTGTGCATGTACTTGCCGTGGGGCACTGTGAAAACTTAATCCTTTCGCTGCATAACGGGCCAAGCTCAAAGTCAAACAAACAAACCAAAGCGATTGCTTAAGGGTTTAGAATGGGCTGTTACAGTTGTAGGCGGGTCGAGGTAGTGGGGGCGGGGCAACTACTGCTTAAGCTGCCGCACAACATTTGCGGGCCAAGTATTTAAGCCATTTGCGCTAATGAATGCGGTCGCGCATTTTTAAGCGCACCCCAAAAACTCGAATGGGCGTGGCAGGCAAAGTTTTATCTCGACGCCCCCAAACCCCAAGAAGTTTTTCGATGGAGCTCGCCGCTGTTCTCAACTTATGCGAAACACGTGCAAAATTATGCTCGGAGTGCAGCCAGCCGCCCCGCCGAGTGCCTCGCCCATTTTTGGCTGATAATTTTTAGCTCAAGTTCACCAAAGGCACGGAGGGGAGCAGCAGCGAGAGGGGCTCGCAGCAGCAGATTTGCCATTTGTTGACGTCTTTTGGCTGTTTCGGTCTGCCTTTGGCATATTTATCTAGTATTTTATGCAGTGCATATTTGGGTGGCAATTTCTCTCTTTTGTCGCCCTCATTGTTTTCCCCGTCGCAATTAAAACGGTTTACGATCTGTGCTCCAAGCCCCGCACGGGTAGCCAGCCATTGACATTCGCCTGACAACAGCCAAAGGAGAGAAAAATACTACGAATATTCGACTTGAGTTATTGCACATTGGTGTTAATAATAGCTGCGTAATGCACACACACATACATGCACTCGCTCAGTGGTTGATGCGCTTTTATTTTCAATTGCGATTCATGTGATTATCATAAATTGTTCTTTGGATGGGCGTGAAAT